ATTTTGACAAACATACAATTTAACATAGAAAAATTCCTAAGATAACCTAAAAATGTTTTAATCATAAATATATATCCAGTGTCAAAATGACCAAAATATTTTATAAAATAGGTAAAAAAATAATTATACTCATAGGGTTAAGTAATATAGACTTAGGGTTTGGATTTGAGAAATGGGGTTTTGGAGCTTAAGAATTGTAAAAATAGATAAATACTTAAAATTTTAAATATAATTTTATAAATCATTTTTATGATGAATTTTCGAATTTCACAACAAAATTATAAAAAATAATTCGAAACAAAAATTTATAAAAAATCAGATTCTAGAATATATAATTAGAAAACTATAAAAATTTTAGTTTTTATTATTTAAATTATTATTATGATTGGTTAACTACTAAATACAGTAGCGGTTAAAATAGAAATTAAGAATATTTACATTTTATATAATTATAAAAATACAAAAATCATAATATCATAATAAATATAAAAATTATACTTATAAATTTATAGTTTAAAATTTTTAAAATTATTGAAATTTTTCGTAAAGTTTTTTTGAATAATATTAATTAAAATATAATAGATATATTTTAGAATTTTATAATTCCGATTTAAAAAAAATGAATATTTTACTTTTATATTTATTATTATTTAAAAAAATCACCCTTCCGCAATCATCCATAAACGCAAATGCTAGTTGGAACCAGCTTTTGAATTTAAGAGATTTATAGTGATATGAAACGATCCAGATTGATTTAAATAATTATTGCAAAATGCCAACAACCAATACCAACTATAAAAGTTATCTTTGCGATTGATAGCGGGGAAACCAGTCAGACTGTTAACGTGTAGAAGCTATTGAACGTTTCAAAATAACATGATTTAGATTATCGCACCTCTATTGGTAAATTCGCATGTGGAGGCTCAAATATGTCTTCATCTAAATCTAATAATATACAAATATGAACTCCCACTTAAAAGCGTATGATTAACATATATAAGTTAAACCAGAATTTTAAGTTTTGATTTTCTCTAGTCGAAAAAATTAAGGAATAATTTGAAAAAGCGTTATTTATGATTTAAAATACATTTCAATTTTTTTTTTTGAAAACTACACATTATTACATGTAATAAGACATTTGTATCCTTTTTTAATTAGTCTTTCTTAATCATACTATTAGGTCAGAAAGTATATAGCTAAAATTAAACTTTACAATATTATTATTTTGTTTGCGGTAAATAAACATTTTGAAATGAAAAAGAATGTTTATGTTGTCGATTCTTGGTATCCTTACAGCATAGAAGGATGAATGGGTTGAATCAACACATTCTTCAGAACAGTGAAGAAGGTCGGTTAGAAATTATAATTGCAAGAGTTCTTACGTGCTATAGATTCACAAAGTTCATACATATCATCTCTTCTCTAGAATCATTGTGTGCTAGTCAAAGAAGAAAAATAAAAGGAAGAATTTGTAGTTAAAATAGAAAAATATACATCAACGCACCATTTTCTTCTTATATTTCTTCTCTGGTTTTTTTTTCATACATCGGAGCAAAAGAATCTTTCAGTCAGAACAAATTATCATTTAGCAGGGTAAAGACGTTTGTGTTATTGACTGACTTGTTTGGCAAGGAAAGAGTTTAAAAAATTCGTTTTTTCAAACGCATATAAAGTTATTTGTGTTTATTAAAAATAGTTTAGATGCTAAAATAGTTACAAACATTTCAATTGTATAGTTCGGTAATTTGACTTATGAATAAGTGTAATTTTTCAAAAAAATTTACAACGGTAGTTTTCAAAATAAAATCTTATATGAAGGTATTTCTCCAAATTTTTCCAAAAATTAACCAGGAGAAAAATAAGAAGATAAATTAGCCTTTAGATTTTTTTATTCTCTTTTTTGTCCTGCTACACATTTAATTAGATTAAGTTGGGACCAGATAAGCTGTTTTTGCAAAAAAACACTACTATCTGTTTGTATCTGATTTACATGAAAAAAATACAACTTCTGATATTTTTTTTTGTTAGTGAGTCCACGTAAACATTTCTTACGCTAAAAATTATGAATGAGATTTACATTCTCGAAATTTTTCTATAGTTTTTGGACATATTTTAGTATATTCTTTTTTTATTGGCATGACTCTTCACATCACTTTCCCGCGTTCTCTACTTTTTTTCCTTTTTAATGTCAAAATAGATTTTCAAATATCTATCTTAGTTTTGATATTATCCAGCAGGTTAGTCATGTACATATAGTATCCCTACACTTATACATCACCAATGATATCAGTATAACATTTTCTAATGATCATATATCGCTTGTTTGAAAAAACTTTGTTAAATAGCTGTGGAATATTTGCCATTAATATTGTTTAATGTGTAGTTTTTTATATGTTATGTTTCAGTATCTAAGCTATGTTAGACCATATAAATAAAACCGCCCTGAACTTAAGTAAGCAATGACTTCCGGCCATTAATAAATATCAAAAATATCTGCCTTAATTTTTAAAATATCTCTTTAGTGTAATAGTTGAACAGCTATTGTACATGTATTCAAATTAGAATTAGTGTAATTCCACCAATATAATTTTTATTTTCAGCCATTTTTCTATTTTTTTCTTGTAACCTTAAGAACTCTAGGATCGGTTCTACATATAAATGCTTTTGGAATTGAAAACTTATATTTAAACAAAAGAAAAGAAATTGATAACTTAAATATATTTCGTAACATTTTTACCAAAAAAAATTACAAGATACAAATTACAAGATACAAATTATGTTATTCTTATACGTATTATTTTCATATTTTATAGTTTAGCCAGCATTTTTTTATCTGAGCCTAGAATCATGATTTTTAATTTATCATTAATCTCGGATTCCCGACTAGTTAATTAATTAGGTAATCACAAATCAATTTGCTAGAAAACAATAAAGAATCCAAAAAGGAAAACTGAGAAAAATCATTTAGAAAAAGAGAGAGAGAAACTCACTACGACAACAGTGACATTGCGCGCGGCCTACGTGATCTTCCGAAGACACTCTTCCACCTATTTCCTCTCGCACGGATCTCAGCCGCTCGTGTCTTCCTCATTGTTTTTTCTTTTTTAAAACAATATACTGTTCTGAGGTCCAACATTGCACATATTAAAAATCTTTTAAAATTTTGATAATATATATTATATATAAATTTCTTAATTTCCAATAATTTAATTAAAATGATTTTAATAAATATGATTAAAATTATCATTATTAACTAACCAAAATAACGTATATTTTGATTTTTTAAAAATAATTATCTTTTTAAAACGGATGAAAATTTCTTCTAAAGTGTTATTATTATGTTGAAAAAATGTTATTCTTATTATTATTATTTCTCCAATAATTATGGAATTAATTTTCGTGATAGTAATAATAGCATACACTTCTAAATTAAACAACTTAAATTCAATATGATGATTTTTTGTTTATTCAAAATAAGTAAAAATTATATGATATTTATGTTGCATGAAAAATTTCGTTGACTTTTTTATTTTCAATAAACTTATTAATTCAATATATGAAACTTTTGCATGTTTAACGAAAATCTGTTTTGAAAGTAACCGATATAAATGGAAGTAATATAAAATAACTCATCAAAAAAAATCAGCAAATAAGTCTCCTGATTTTGATTTGTTGACTAAAAATATTAAACTAATCTCCTTACAACTGTTTAAGAAAAGAAATAAGAACATTAACATAAAAAAGAAATATATGAAGAGGGAGTTTTTTTTTTTTTTTTTTTTTTTTTTTTTTTTTTTTTTAATAAAAGCTGATTTGTTGATGTAAGTCCAATAAAAAACCTAAAAGACGCCGTCAAGTGCGAAACCTAAAAGACATCGCCGTCGATCTATTTGCTACTGCTCCGGTGGTCGGTGCTTCTCACCGCCGCCGGGAGCAGTCCTTGACTACCTATCTCCTTGTCTCTATGGTCTCAATCTCTGTTTCTTAAAACCATGTTGGGTTTAATTCCAGATCTGGAGTGCTTATGTCTGGTGGGCGTGAGTTACTTCGTCGGTTCCGTTACCGGTGAAGTATGGGGTCTCGTTCAATCACTTGGTTCTCCTGTTTTTGTGGCTCTGTTTTTGTCTTGTTGATTTAGTGATTGGCTTGCTCTTTGGTTGGATTCGTTTGGCTCGATAGTATGTAATGCTTGTTTCATGGTTACTTCCGCTTTCTCTTGTCTCCTCGAATATTTGGTGTCTCATGTTTGTCAAGGTCTTGTTGTTGGGGTTCGATTTTTGGATGGTATACTGTTGTGGAGCCATCTACTTACTTCTTCCTTGTGACTTGTTTGCGGAGTGAAGTATTAAGACGAAGCAGTAGTCTCGATTTTCAGCTCATCTCTTGCGCGGACGTGACCATCCTTTTGCTTGTAGATGGTGAAGTATGGGTACACGAGGGCCGCGTGTATGAGCTGCTGATCCTTTTAGTTGTTGTCCCCTCTTCGAGTTTCAAGGTTTGACCTTGTGCCTTTGTCTCTCTTGATCACTGGCGGTTTGTTGCAGATATGGTGGTAGTGGATATTGGCTCCGTGTCTGCTTCAGTGTGGCGTTGTGTGTTCCTGCCGGGTTTTGGTTCATGAGAGATTGTGGTTTCGGCATTTGTTGGTTTGTGGCCTCCTCAAGTCTCTCTTCTGTTCTTATGGTCTCAACCCGTGCATATTCAGGTTCTTTGGAAACGCTCGTTGGATTGTCGTCTGTATGGAGTTTGGTTGGTTGGTCGAAGATAATCACTTGTCATATCTTTAGTGATGGTTCTTCATTGTTATATTTATGTTCTTTTGGTGTTGCTTTCTAGTCTATGTGGTTTTTTGGGTTTAGACTAAAGTTCACAACGCTGGCTAGTAGGATGGGAGATGTTTGGTCTTGTATCAAGGCATGTAACAATTTGTACTCTCAATTTTCGTTAATGCAATTCAAAGATGACAAAAAAAAAGAAGAGGGAGTTTTCATAAACGGGCGTCACGATGAAATGTTGACATGAACGCTAGCGTTTTTAGGAGATCTACAGATTGGACACGTGTGCACACTAGACCCACAGACTCCACACAAGCACAAGTGTCTGCACGGTAAAAGCAACACACACGATCCCTCCTCCCCACAGTTCCTGCACATCCTACCTTTCGCCTCCCCATCATGCGCCCCAGTAGCTACCCTACGCCTAACCGTTTCTTCACCCGCGCTACTTCCGCAACACGACTGCGCATCATCACCCTCGTTAACGTTACCTAATCCTGCGCCGGGGTCATTAACCTGCGCCAGAACCTGCTCAAGGTTGTTACGGAGGTTGTTGGCGGTTGCTTCGTTGGTCTGAGCGAGATCCCGCCAGATTTGGTTCTCGATAGAGAGTGACTTCACGCGTTCCTCAAGCGCGTGGTTTATCTTCTCCATTCTGTCTCGTTCTTCCTCTTTGACACGAAGCCTATCTTCTATAGCCTCCATTATCGTTCTCATTTGTCTCTTCCTCTTCTCTTGAATCTCGAGTCTCACTCTCTCCATCTGCCATTGAAGCAAATGTTAGTTTGTTAAAATGTACAAACAACGTTGAAGGCGGTTTGTTGAGAGAGAGTTACATGATGGGAGATGATTTCATGGTGTTGAAATTGATTGATGTGAGAGGAGATATCGATGTCTTGGCCGAGAAACGAAAATGGAGTTGTACTAGTAGCACTAGGGTTGTGATGAATAAGATGATCGTAGTAATCTCTGGAGCGTTTTCTCGTGGGTAAAGGGAAAACATGAGAGTCGACATTAGCATCATAATAAGTGAATGAATCGGTTGTTGTCGGAACATCGTCAACAATAGAGGAGACGCCGTACATGTTAAGAAGAGGAGGTGGACCGTCTGTTGAAACGACGCCGTAACCGGTTTGATTGTTTGTGCAGTAACCGGTATTAGTTGGTTCCATGGTTGTGTTGTTGTTATTATTAATCACTAAGTCTCTGCAAAATACAGTACAATAAAACTGTCAAGAATCAAAGAAAAATAAACCAGAAATCTATCAGATAGCAGATAGAGAGAGAGTTATAAACCTGTTGAAGAGTTGAAGAGGAGAGAAATGGAGATGATGAGCATCAACTGCCATGGGAAGAGAGGTTAGAGAGAGAGGTGGTGATGATGATGAGAAAATAAGGAGGATGGAAGAAGTTTTAAAAGAAAATTAGGAATGCATGCGTTTTGGTTTTTATTTTGCTGTTTTGATATGCGTGAAGAGAGGGCCCTTTGTTTCTTTTATTTATTCTTTCTTTCTCTTATTTGAAAGACCAAATCGAAAGGAACTTCAGCCATATGGTTGTTTCCTATTTATACACATCGATGCGGACGAACGTAAATAGAGAAATTAAAGGAGAGAGAGAATGACAGATTTTAGAAAATAATTAATTTCATGTATTTAATTTGTTCAAAGGTAAATCTAAAATTTATTCTAGATACTAGAATTAATTAATTTAACAAGTTCTTAAGGTGTATCTTTTTTGGTAACTTTCTTTACAATAATAACAGGTTTTCTGAAATTCAATATATTTTAACTTACTTGCTACGTTTTGGTATTTAGTTACCAATTGCTCTGATTGAATTGAATCTGTTGATTTTTGTTCTTATTCAACAATAAGATTTTGTTTATTTTTTTTTTTAATTTGAAGATTTGTTCCACATATTTTGTGGTATATTTTTTATTTAAAAACCCATTTTCGGTTATAATATTTTAAAATTTGGTAACTTATACGAAATTAGCGGAAACATCTATTATATTAAGGGTCCGACTGGTTTTCCCGCTACCACCCGCAAACGCAGGTTTTGCGGTTGATGGCGGTTGTTAGCGTTTTGCAACAATCACAAAAACCGCTACAAATCGCTTCAAACCGCTCCCAACCTCTTAAAATCAAAAGCTGGTTTCAGCTAGCGTTTGCGTTTGCGGGCGATTGCGGGTGGGTAAAAAAATTAATTTTCTTTTAAATTTAAATTTAAATTTAAATTAAAATATAAAAATAAAATAATATAACTAAAACTATATCTACCTTTTATTTTTTAATTTAAATTCACTAAAATATCATAATCTATTATAAAAACTTTAAATCAATAATTTTCTCTATATTTTTCAATATTAAATATATAAATATGTAAATATATAAATATATAAATATATAAATATATAAATATATAAATATATAAATATATAAATATATAAATATATAAATATATAAATATATAAATATATAAATATATAAATATATAAATATATAAATATATAAATATATAAATATATAAATATATAAATATATAAATATATAAATATATAAATATATAAATATATAAATATATAAATATATAAATATATAAATATATAAATATATAAATATATAAATATATAAATATATAAATATATAAATATATAAATATATAAATATATAAATATATAAATATATAAATATATAAATATATATATATATATATATTTATATATATATAAATATAAAAATATAAAAATATATAAATATATAAATATATAAATATATAAATAAATAAATATATAAATATACATATATAAATAGAGAAATACATAAATATATAAATACATAAATATATAATTAATTATATTAGAATATTTTATTAATTATAGAAATTATATTTTCATCTAAATAAAAAATAATAAAATAATATTGTTATTACTTATAATATATTAGTAGTTATTATTTTTTATCATAACAGTATGTTTTGATATTTTTATAATGTTATAATATGTTAATATTGGAAATTTATTATTGAACCGCTGTAGTATCTCATAATCAACCAGTCATAAATGTCCCGTAAACGCACCAGTTTTTAATCGCTATACCAGTCGTACAAATCGCCTAATAACGCTAGAAACCGCAGCCACCCACATCCGCAAACTCCCGCAACCGCAATCGCAACCGCCGCGTTTCAACCAGTCAGACCCTAAAAGAGAAGTCATGACTCATTTCATATGTGATTTTTTTTATTTGGACCATTATCAAAAAAAGATTTGTTAACTATATTTCATTTCTTTGTAACCACTTCAATCATAATATCTTTGATATCTTTTAATTTTAATATAAATATGTATTAATTCTTTTTTTAAAATCTGTTGAAAAGATTTTAGCAAGATCTTAATTTTAAAAACATTATATAAATATTTCACTAATTAATAACTTGAATAAAATTTTGAATTAGTAATCAAAATAATTATACATTAATATATATATATATATATATATATATATATATATATGAATATGAAAACAGATTTTATTCTTTTTATCTATTTAATAATCATAAACTATCAAATTAAATGAAATTATTATAATAAAGTGAATGTTATAAAATTATATTAAATTGATAAATTAATAAATTTTATTTTCATAAATAGAAAATATTAATGTTAAAATATATAATATATTGGCAGAGCGGATTAACATTAGTAACTATAAATACATGTATAAAATTAACATATCTTAAACTTTTATAATATCGTATTATCTTTATAAACATAAAAAGTTTAATAAACGGTAATCTAACTTTGAAAATCAAATAATAATTTAGTATAAATTATATATATAATAATATGATTTTTCATGCATATATTAATTTTAATAATTAAATATAAAGCCAATTAGATAAATATATAATAAGAAAAAATTGATATTAACGTACAAGCTATAAAACTATTCTGTTTGTAATATTTATATAAACATTTAAACATATGACTAACGTTATTAATGATATAAAACAAATATATATATATATATATATATATATATGAAAACAAAATCCGCGCGGTTGCGCGGATTCAAATCTAGTATTACATTATTTCAAGGGAAATTAGATTCGGTTATGTGTACAGAATTAATAGAATAAGAGCGGTTGGCCGAGATATTATTTAGCACCAATACAGGGGTATTTTAGGATACTTATCTCTACAAATTACTTTGTTTGATGAAAATCATGCAACAAAGACATGACACGTGTAAATGTCTGAATGAGTCACGCGTATTGCAAGTAAGCAATACAGCGTCGCGAATAATTTCGAGTAGGACCCACTAATTTGTCTTTTGTACGGTCTGGTAAAATGGGTAAAATCCTACTTTTCGTGTTTGTAATCTTTTTCTTTCGTACGATTTTGGCGCCATGTGATGCCACGTCGTAAAACATCCTTGGCTGCTTCTGTTTTGACCATTTCCTTCACTTTTATTGAGGTTTTTTTAAACATCAACAAAAAAGTTGTAGCTTATCTTTAATTAAATTTCTTACTATTAGATTTTCCAGTTAAATTATAATGAGTCCAAATTGTCCAATTAAATTCAGTAAATATTCGTGAATGATAAGTTCATGACTGTGTATTGTACATTAATTAGTAATTCAGTAAAAGTTGTATGTATAAAAGTAAATAAAAGTTTGTGATGTTATATAACTTTCTTTAGATAAATAGTAATAATGTGATAATCTGGAATTTAAAGATACATTGTATTTATTATTCATGCTTCTGTATAAAATGAATAAATCTAGCTATGTTTAAATTCCATTAATTAAATTGTATTAATTATTATTCATGCTTCTCTTATAAACTGAATAAATCTAGCTATGTTTAAATTCCATTAATTGGTTAAATATCCTTAATTTCCTTTAAATAAACTGATAGTCGAAGTATATATCCATGTATAAACACAGAGAGCCCAAGAGAGCCCAAGAGGTGAAGAAAGATAGACATATTCTTAAAATAACGCACAAGAATCAATTCCTATTCGATTTATTTTGTCCCTTTTACTTTCTTTTTCCTACTTCTTTACATTTTTTGTGCTTTGTTATATTTTCTTTCCTACACATTAAAAGTTAAAACAATATGCCTTTATCTTTTAGTAGCATTCAAGTTTCCACCATCTTAATTTGTTTTAACAAAGCTCAAATTATAAAAGTAGAGTTTGTAAAGTAAAAGAGTGGTCATGGTGCACAAGTTACGTGCTTGCTTTCACATTTAAATATTGATCTTCATATTCTAATTTGTTATGTATTCTGAGACGACCAATAACGTAACAAAACGTTAACTAAGGTGTGTCTTTCTGATCGAAAGTAATATTTATACAAAGTATCTTGCATGGTATCCTTTCTTTTCTTATACAACTTTCAATCCTCGTTTTTTTGCTCTCTATTTGATTCAACTTAGAGATGGTCCTGGTGTGTAATCATGTGATATCAGCATTTGAAAATAAGAAGAAGAAAATCATAACCATTGTAAGAATCATAAAGGGTGCCTTAGCTAGAAACTTCATCTTTCCTCAAAGGCACCATTATATAATTCAATTTATTGAAAAGAAGGAATTCGTGCTTTGTGAACCATATTTATATATCTTTTGGTTCATATATACATAAATATACGTTTATCAAAGTTTTTGAAACTGGTGACTCTAACTATACTTTTGTTCCAACATCATATCACACACCTAGATCTTACAACAATTCAAAAGAGCCTTCGCTGGATGTGTACACCTTCCCATTAAAGACTACAATGTGTTTGAATTAATTGTTTGGGGCTTGCTAGTGCATGCATGTCACATGTACTATCGTCCATACAGATGAAGCTCGTGACCTAACATATTACATCATATTAATCTTTGGATCTTTATAATATGCACCAAGACATCTTAATAAAAATACCATATGGAATATTATGGATCGGAACTCACTCTCGCAATTATCGAAAATAAGCAATGTGATCAATTTTTGTATACAATTTTCTTGTTTTGCGAGGTCTTGATTTGATTAGAGATGTGTTGGGCCGTCACTCTTTCTTGCTATTCAAAAAATACCGTACTTAGCCATAGGGGTGAGCGCATATCGCATATCCGGATTTTTCAAGATATTTGTGATTTGTTTTGAATGTTACGTATATCTAATTTTGGTATTTGCTTTGCTTCGAAAAATAAGGATATCCGGGAAAACGGATATCCGGAAATAAATAGATATTTGCGGATATTTACGAATATTTACGGATATCTAATCCATTTTGATTAATACAAATAATCTTAAAATTTTAATATAAATTTGCTTTGCAAAAATATTTTTTTGCATGATATATAAAATAAAAATTAAAATAACCAGTGAATTTATATATTTTCTAATTTTGAAGTTTAAGTTACAATTATAACAACACAAAAGTTAAAAGCAAAAAATATAATTGTCATAATTGTTTTTTCCTTTTTTTTGTAATATATTTATATAAGTAATAATGTGAATAGAATTGTTCAAAAACATGTGTTAGAATAACAATTATATAATTTTATACATTTAAAATTTTAAATATAATCAATATATACATATATTTATATATTTCCGGATCGGATCAGATATCCGCTTCCCAAAATGTTTATATTTGTGACTTGCTTCGATTTTAACGGATATTAATTTTTAGTATTTGCTTTGATTCGAAAGTTTACGGATATCCAGAATTTTCGGATCGAATCGAAACGAATAACGAATCGAATAACAAATCGAATCAAATTTAACGGATAAAATGCACAACCCTACTTAGCCGTATCATCGAAACTTAACTTTCACTATAACAAAATTTCAAAATTTTACTTATTTTAATCCTAAAAAATCGTTGCTCCATTAGGAGACGAGAGAAGTTCTGCAACCGGATCTGAAATAAGAAAAAGAAAGTCCTGCAAAAGACTTTAACTTGGTGTCATGTGTGGTTGTGCTTGTGGACTGTGTGTGGTCCCTTCTTTATCACTTATTTACATAAAAATAAAGAGCCAATGTGTAGATTGCATGATTCCCACTACTGCTTTCAATCTCAGCTTCTGCTACAAAATGCAATATGATCCCACCTCCACTTTAATTCATCCAGACAAAATACGTAATAAATGTATATGAATACGAGGAGAGCTATTCATCGAAATGGAAATTTGAATGTACTGACTTGATACCATCAGATCATGAACCTACATTAACTCCAACCAAAAAGACAAAGGTGGTGGTTGTTGTTGTTGTTATGTCAGATCACTGATTCACATTCACCAAATCAAGAAGTTTGAATCATGAGTAGAGATTGGACAACAGAGTATGTGTTGTCCTTAATAGAAGACTTACACAAATCCATTACTACATGAGCCTACCAAAGTCCCTACGTACATTGAAACGACCAATCAGTCTCATTCAGTACCATCAAAATCAGTAAATGAGAGAACATGATTGATACATGCAAGGTTCACATTGAGTCACTCCAAACTTTCTCTATGGAGATTGAAGAAAGGATACTTAGTTTTGTGAGCTGGTGGTGAGCTGCTAACTATATATAACAAAATCTCACAAGTTATTTTTGTTTATTTTTTACCAGAATTTGAAAGCAAAACATTGAAAGCAGATATTCTAGTTGGGTGTAGTGCTGATCCAGTTTTTTATATCATGTATTTGATCACAACCTGATGAACTAGAAGATCCAAAATTACAATGACAGTGTGCTTTATAATCCAATATTAGCAACAGATAAAGAGTTGTGATATATATTTAGCCAAAGACCAGGCAAACACCTCATGCATGACACAGATTGCATAAAGATATACATAGTCAAAAAGACCAGGCCCAATGTGAAGGTGTCACTAAATGATTGTAGAACAACAAACCAAAAAGGCCTATATTATTTAGCATACAAAATCTGCAAAAGAATCTGTAAATAACTTAACTTCCCAGGGGTAACCTCGTCATTCCGCAGACAACTTTTTTATTTTCCCCTTGAGAAGACAATCCAAGCATCCCCGGGAAATGGAGCAGCAATCACAATCGAGCCACCGCGATTCAGCTGATCCGTCGCCGTCATCCACCGCAGACGATGAGCACGTAGGCTCCGGTGGAGAAGCTATGGCTCGAGGATTATCGGCGATGCTAGAGTCCATCATCAAGGAGTTCGACTCAAAAGCCAATGATACGTTCAAAAGCCAAGACCAACTCTCCGGCTCACTCGATCGACTAATCCAAGGTAATACAAATAAACCGAACCCGGTTCTCATTCTTCTCTCCGGTTTGTTAGATTGTTTATGGATCGATCCGGTTAAGTTGGTTAGCCATGATTTTTATTGTATTTGAATTAACCGGTTAGTTAGCCACACTATTTTTATTTTTTAATGCGATGTAAAACACACAGAGCTTGATCAATTACTGGAGAATGCTCCGTTGCCGTTCATAGTACAACATGCAGCGAGGATCTCGAGCGTGAAACATAGAGTTACGTCGATGAATCTGGTGCTTAAATCTATACAAAGGCGTATTGATAACATCCATCACACTCTCTCTAGTAACAGCATGATACAAGGTAATCAGATTAATTAAATTAAATCTGTATTTGATTTGAAGTTAATCTATATCTCACTGTGGTGTTTCTATTTTCTAATGACACAGAGAAAACAGTCTCGGAAACTACTTAATGACCAGAATAAACACGAGTAGCTGTCTTAGTCGGGCTTCTTAATTATCAATACAAATGTAAATATACATTTTGTATTGTTCTTTTTTTTTTGTCAGCATGTTGTATTGTTCCAAACTCATATTCATCACGAGACCTTCTTGTCTTTCAGAAGCTTAAGATCACATTGTCTGAACAAACTTAACTATCTGTGATTGGCTTATTTCTCTACAGCACATTCTCGGTATGGATGGAATATCTATATTCTGATACCTTAAATAATAGTATAAAATACTAGCTATTAAGGAATATTTATTTATTGGAAAATTCGAAAATATATATGTACGGGGCTCTTCGTCCTCTGCTGTCGTTTGGACAGTTGCTTTAAACCCAGAAAAAAATGGATTCAAGCAAAGTGTTGTCTCTGAAGCTAAATCCTTGCTTCAGTCCTCTCCACCCTTTCACGCCATGTGTTTATTCTCCCCCGCTCCGCCTCTCCCTTTCCCACTCCTGCCGCTTCTATTCTCCGGTCACCGTCAACGCCTCAAAGAAAACCTCTCCGAGCATCCGCTCTGAACTCGATGACAGAATCAACGGCACTTTCTCTTCCGGTCCCGACTCTGATTCTCGCTTCCTCGACCGTGTTAGTTCTTCCGTCCTTCCTCTCTTTCTATCAGTGTGAATTATGTGTTTTTTCCATTAACAAACTTAGGTTTGGGTCTCCACTAGTTTTTGTCTGCTTAGGCTAAAAGTGTCTGTGTTTGTGTCTTTGTGAGCTGAAAGTCTTAACCTCTTGTACTTCATTGGTTTACTGTGAACCTGTGTGTTTGTGTCTTTGTGGATTCATTTTGAGCTGAAAGTCTGATACTTTTGAAGGCTGCTCACCTTTTACTACATTGGTTCGGAAATGTTGGAGCTTTAGCTATATACTTCTACATCTGTTTATACGTGTGTCTTAATTTCAACAGTGGCTTGCTTGTCTTGTTTGATCAGTAGCTGTTTTAACTATTATATTACTCTATTGCAAAGAGAGGAGTTTCATTTTTCTCATTCACCTGTTTCTAGCTTTTCATCTGTTTTTACTTGCGTCTAAATTTCAAAAGTGGCTTGGCTTGTCTTGTTTGAACTATCATTTTACTCTATTGATCAAAGAAAGGAGTTTCATTTCTCTCCTTGACCTGTTTCTAGCTGTTTTTTAGGAGACCAGAACACACATTTTTTTATCAGCTCTACTTGTTGCCCTTAAAGTCTTACTAACTTTTTGTGTTTCTTGGCTTGTTTACAGCAAAAGGCTTTAGAGGCAGCTATGAATGACATTAACGGTTCGTTTGGTAAAGGAAGTGTAACCAGGTTGGGGAGTGCTGGTGGTGCACTAGTGTGAGAATCTCTCTCTTGATTCTCTCTCTTGATACTTATTAAACAAGTCCAATATATTCCACTATGTGGTATTTAATTTCAGAAAACAAAATGATTGTGTATTGCAGGGAGACTTTTCCGAGTGGTGTTTTGACTCTTGATCTTGCCTTAGGTGGTGGTCTGCCAAAGGGTCGAATAGTCGAGGTATGCACTTGTTAAGAAAAATTGATGACTGTGACACTCTGATAATTAATTTTTCAACTTAACACTGCAGATATATGGACCAGAAAGTAGTGGCAAGACCACGCTAGCACTCCATGCAATTGCTGAAGTGCAGGTTATCTTTCTTGTGAACTACTTCGATCAGATTAAACCTATCTTTTCTATCATCTGAAACATAGCTTTCTGACTGTGCAGAAGTTTGGAGGCAATGCAATGCTCGTTGATGCAGAGCATGCCTTTGATCCAGCTTACTCTAAAGCATTAGGTGTTGATATAGAAAACTTAATAGTGTGCCAGCCTGATAACGGCGAGATGGCGTTAGAGAGTAATCCAAACATTCTAATTGTGATGGTTAATTTCATGTAAAGTATACGCGTGTGAATTAACTAACATGTTATTTCTTCATTGCTCACTCAGTTGCAGACCGAATGTGTCGTTCGGGTGCAGTTGATCTTATCTGTGTTGATTCTGTTTCAGCACTTACTCCAAGGGCCGAGATTGAAGTATGATTTCATCTCTTCCCTACAGCTACTTTATTGCTTGTATGATTCTTTCTGAGTTAGAATTTGTTTACTCTCCTGTTTGTGCATAGGGTGAGATTGGAATGCAGCAAATGGGCTTGCAAGCCCGTCTTATGAGTCAAGCTCTTCGTAAAATGTCAGGAAACGCCTCTAAAGCTGGCTGTACACTTATTTTCCTAAACCAAATTAGATACAAGGTAATTATATGACTAATCACTGACTAGACCATCTATGTTGTGTTCTTGAACTAACATTGCTTTGTTCTCTTTGTGCTATGAAGATTGGTGTGTACTATGGGAATCCAGAGGTTACGAGTGGAGGAATTGCGTTGAAGTTCTTTGCGTCGGTTCGGCTAGAAATTCGTTCTGCTGGGAAGATCAAATCTGTAAGGACACCAGTTTATATCTGTGTGGTTTTGTCCCGTTTTAAAAAATGTTAATTCTGTTTTCCACTTACTTATTTAAAGAGCAAAGGAGATGAAGATATTGGTCTTCGAGCTCGTGTAAGAGTACAGAAGAGCAAGGTTAGTGGCATCAAAATGTCAAATTATTTTAAACATAAAAGGTAAATTTGCATTTATGTAATTCTACCTTTGCAGGTTTCAAGACCGTATAAGCAAGCAGAGTTTGAGATTATGTTCGGGGAAGGAGTCAGTAAACTGGTATGCATCATCAGTCTCTCTGAGAAGATAAAACATGTTTCATTGTCTTATAACTTAAACCTAAAACCTGTAGGGATGTGTTCTTGATTGTGCTGAAATCATGGAGGTTGTGGTCAAGAAGGGTTCTTGGTACAGCTACGAAGACCAAAGGTCTAGTTTCTAAACTGTAAACTCTTAAGACATTTTGAAAGAAGTGGATATTATACAGAATTACAGATATGCATTTGTGTTTCTTGTCTCTGTTTCAGACTCGGGCAAGGAAGAGAGAAAGCACTGCAGCATTTACGGGAAAACCCTTCTCTTCAAGACGAAATTGAGAAGGTTCGCTTCTTCCCATGTGAACGTAAACTGTTTGCATCGATTCGTTTATCTTTATGAGTTTATTTTTGCAATGGTGTTGCAGAGAGTAAGATTATTGATGTTAGATGGAGATGTTCATAGATCAACCCCTTTGCTTAGCAGCAACTCCTCTTCTGTTTCACATCACGAAGAAGACGACAACGACTCGCTTGATGGTTTCCAATGACTCTAAACTGAAGCCTACAGATTTAATCCATATTCTAGTTTCAACTCTCATCATTCAAAACTCTATATGCTTTAGTCTATATACAAACACAAGAGTTCTTAGTTTCTTAACAACATTACATAAAAGAGAACACTGACACGAGAGCAGACATAAAACCACAGTTTTACTGAAGACGAGCTCCTCCGGCAAGAATTCTGGCGAGTGTCACCGGTCAAAAGCCAGTCCGGTGACACCTCCCTCGTACACGTCACCACTAGCTGACCACTCGTCCTCGTTGTAGATAGGAGTATAGGACTGTCTCCATCCACGTTAGCACCATACTTGTCAACAAACTTATAAACACCGTACTATCCCTGAGATGAAACGACACCGTCATATTAAAAGACAATTATATCCCTAACATTCAAAAACGATACCGTTTCACCTTGCCCTTTCTGCAAGAAGCGTCGACGCCGTCTCTCGAGTTCCATGCCCCCGTTAACGGAATAAGCTAAACACTTTTTCTAAAGCGATTAGGGTTTGTGAATCGATGATGGATGGTTTAGGTATGGGGAGCAGTATGAATCAAGCTCCTCGAAACGGTGATCTTAACAAACTCGTAGCCAATCCTACAGGTTCGTTTCTCCGATTCGTTTTCGTTTCTTCTCCAGATCGCTTTCTTGTAGTTTGAATCTGGATCTTAGATTGATTCTGATTCTTCACCTGTGAACTTGAATTTGCTCCTTACTTTTAGTTAGGGAAGAATTAGGTTAAATCTGAAATAGTATAATACCTGTTTAGATTCTGCGGACGAGTATGTCAAACTTGAATTTGCTCCTTACTTTGATTTGTTAGAAGAAAATTAGGGAAGATTTAGGTTAAATCTGAAGTAGTATGAGACCTGTTTAGATTCTATAGAGCAGTTTCTGCGCTTTGGCTCTGTATCAAAGTTGAATCATAGTCTTATAGTTCTTAATCCTTTGTTTTAATTGAAGGTTTATTTTGGTGCAGGTGATTCGGTGTTTGATGCATCTCAGTATGCGTTTTTCGGTAACGATGTTGTGGATGAGGTTGAGCTTGGTGGATTGGATGAGGAAGATGAGATTTTGTCTTTCAATGGATTAGCTGATGATGGCTTTTCGTTTGATAAAGAAGAAGAGGTTTAATCTCTTTCTTTTTCTCTTAGCTTAGCATCTGTGAAGAGATGAAGCTTTTTCTTTGGTTAGACTTACACTTCCTCCCCCAATGTTTTGCAGGTTGGAGATTCTAGGCCTTTGTCTGATGTTGATGATCTTGCTGCTACTTTTTCAAAGGTTGGATAGCTTACCTTTAATTATATATGCATCCTACACTTCTGTTTTCTGTTTCGTTTTGTTTTCAAAATGTTAAGCTTGCTTTGGAGAAAGTTTTGATCTGAGGTTTATGATGTTACAGTTGAATAGGGATCCTGATGTCTATAGAAACACGGGACCAGTCACTGATAAGAGATCGAGCCAGAGTGAGTTTCAAATCTTCTTATTTTCTTTCTTTTCCCTGCAGAGTTACTGCGTTTTCATGGTTCTACCTTAAGAGCGAGCAAGGCTTTTGGTTTATGGTTTGACGATGCGATGTTATTTTTCTCAGATTCTTTGGTACCTGAGTGGGCTCATGGGGAGGAGTTGCCAGATTGGTATGGCCAGCAGAAGCTAAATTTGGGTGCCATCAAAGATGACAAGGCGTGGTCGGCAACACCTTTTTCTGCTTTGGATCCTACAAGGACAACGCCGTATCATGAACCACAACGTCAGCTGTATCAAAACCACAATCAACAACAGTTTCCCAGTGAGCCGATCGTTGTCCCGAATTCATCTTTTGTTTCATATCCTCCTCCTCCAGGCAGCATCTCACCAGATCAGCGCTTAGGACACTCATATCATTCTGGTGGGTCTCAAATGGGATCGCCAAACTTTTCTCAGTTCCCAAATTTGCAGCCTCAGCTGGCTGGCATGCATCATGGGTCTCCCCAACGCTCTGGAAACATGCCTCAGTTTCGTCCCGCTCTTCCTCCGAATAATCGTCCTCCGGGTCAATGGATGAATCGTCAAAATGTGCATCCTGGTGATAATTCAGGGATCATGAATAACGCGATGCTACAGCAGCTACCTCATCATAACGGTTTGATGCCCCCTCAGATGCAGGGATCTCAGAATAGGTTACAGCATCCAATGCAGCCTCCTCACGGTCATATGCCAGGAATGCAGCAGCCTCAGTTATTCAGTCCCCACCTTTCTCGATCATCATCTTCTGCAAGTTATGATGGCATGCTTGGGTTTGTTGATCCAAGGGAATCAAGACCAGGTTCGGCTCAAGGCAACAGACAGAACGTGCGTTTTCATCAACAAGGCTTTGATGGTGGCTTTCAGAGGAGACATAGTGGGTGGCCTCCATACAGGTCTAAATATATGTCAGCAGGCGAGTTAGAGAATATACTGAGAACGCAGCTTGTTGCTACACACAGCAATGATCCCTACGTTGATGATTACTACCATCAAGCCTGTCTTGCTAAGAAATCTGCAGGTGCGAAACTGAGACATCATTTCTGTCCAAACCATTTGAGGGACCTCCATCCACGGGCACGGACAAACAATGAGCCACATGCTTTTCTTCAGGTCGATGCTCATAGTCTTGGTAGAGTTCCTTTCTCTTCAATCCGCAGGCCTCGTCCCCTTCTTGAAGTGGACCCTCCAAATTCAACTAAACCTGGCAATCCGGAGTCTAGGGCTACCGATAAGCCCCTTGATGAAGAGCCCATGCTTGCAGCTAGAGTGTACATTGAGGATGGTCATAATATTCTCCATGATGTTGATGACATAGATCGTTTCTTGGAGTTTAGCCAACTCCCCGATGGTGGAAACCAGTTGAAACAGAAACGGCAAGCTTTGCTGGATACCCTTGCGGTTTCACTGCAGCTAGTTGATCCCCTTGCCAAGAATGGGCAAAGCCTGTCCCAAGATGATGTCATCTTTCAAAGGATTATCTCTCTTCCAAAAGGTCGGAAACTACTTATAAGGTATCTTCAGCTTATTTTCCCTGGCAGCGACCTGATGAGGATTGTTTGCATGGCAATTTTCCGTCATCTGAGATCTTTGTTTGGTGTCCTTTCATCCGATCCTGATATCGTCAAAACCACCAACAAGCTTGCAAACGTTGTAAACGTGTGCATTCACAAGATGGATTTAGGACCCATAAGCGCCTGTCTAGCAGCGGTTTCCTGTTCTTCTGAGCAGCCACCGCTCCGACCTTTAGGCAGTCCTGTCGGAGACGGAGCTTCCACGGTGCTGAAATCTACACTCGACAGGGCTTCTGAGCTTCTCCGGGCTAATAACTTCAACAACGCGGGCATGGCTCTGTGGCGTGCTTCCTTCAACGAGTTCTTCAACCTTCTGATGAGGTATTGCATCAGCAAATACGACAGTATCATGCGGAGTTTGAACTCGCAGTTGCCACCTGAGTTAGCTAGTGAGATATCTGATGCAGCTGCACAAGCCATTGTCCGTGAAATGCCCATTGAGCTTCTACGTTCGAGTTTCCCCCACATTGATGAACAGCAAAAGAGATTACTAATGGAGTTTTTGAAACTATCTATGCTCGGAAGCAGCCAGAAAACCGAGCCAGTCTTGAATTGATAGTTATAGAATCAAGAGACCATACCGTAATGTCTGTATATGAGGCATAAGATGATGCGGAAACAGTAAACAAGAAAGGTAGAGAGACTGTTTTTGTGTCTTTTAGGAGAAAAAAAAACAGCGAAGAAGTTTGGTCTCTGTACAGAGAAAAAGAAAGTCTTTAGCTCTGCAGGAACTTTGTAGCCAAGGCATTATGTGTTTTCTGTGTTATGTCTAGTTCATGTCATTGTGGTTTTTTTTTATATTTTTGTTTTGAAACCTTCCTTCATGTTTTTGATGATTTATCTTTCCTCTTCTTTCTATGTTTTACCAAATAAACATTTTGGGGGTTATTATGCTTTAGTAATGAGTTATATTTTGTTCTTCATATCATCTCTTCTCACAAGCAAAGAGCATTTACTTATCTCTGCGATAATCGTTCAAGGGATTGCTCCAGAGAGGAGTAGGAGCTGCGATCGTTTGAGGTTGTGGGACAAAATGCAGTAGATAAGATGTGATGCAGTTAAGTTTAGGATGATGCGTAGGAGTAGAAGAAACCATGGCACTATTTTTGGCAAAGAGATGACGAGGATTCATGTCTTTTGTTAAACATATTCTAGATCGATATGAACAAGACACACGATGCTGAGGTTTTCATTTACATATCAAATATCCAGTTGAAACAAGAAAAAAACTATAAGACGATGACGACCCGCTTGATGATTTCTAATCAGTCTAAACTGAAGCCTAGAGACCAAAACCCATCTTCTTTTTTCAACTCTCATCATTTAAAACTCTATAAGCTTGTCTATAAACATGTTGTATTCAAGTTACATACAAACAAACACTAGAGTTATTATATATTGAAAGTATGTTCTTAGATTCTTAACAACATTACATAGAAGAGAACACTGACACTAGAACATATAGAGAAACACGACAACACATAAGTTAAACACAGTTTTAAGACTTTACTGAACCAAAGCACTTGTGTTGTACACAAGAAGAGCTCCTCCAGCTAGAATTCCGGCGAGTGTCACCGCCCAAATAGCCAAACCGGTGACTCCTCCCTTGTACACGTCACCACTCGCTGACCACTCGTCCTCGTTGTAGATAGGACTGTATCCATCGACGTTAGCACCGTACTTGTCAACGAATTTGTAAACACCGTATCCCTGATATGAAACGACAACGTTTTGAGTTACTCATACGAAAAAAAAAACAATAAACGACGTCGCTTACCTTTCCCTTTCTGCCGGAGGCGTCGACGCCGTCCCTCAAGTCCATGCTGCCGTTAACTCCTACACACAAAAATCGATTTTAACGGAATAAGCTATACTTTTAACGGTAACGTGTAACATAAGTAAGGTGTGTTATGTTGTAACGGACCAAAGGGCTTGTCTGTCTTGATCTTCTTGACGCCACTCGCGACGATTTTGAAGGAAGATGGAGAAGCTCTTGTGAGCGACGGTAATCCTCTCGCCGACATCTTCTCCACCGTGAAACCTGCCGGTTTCAATGTAACTGATGAAAGCATCACTGAAGCAGCCATGTTCTCACAAGATCAAAGTTCTCTTCTTCTTCTCTCACGATCTCTCTATGTTCTCGCATGGTGCGTGAGGGTGTGTGGTCTTCAAATATGAGGAGAGAGGAGATCCACAAGTGATTGTTGTCCTCACACGTGGCGACTTATGTGTGGCTGTCCTCTGGATATCTTACTAGCATTATCTTCAACTTTGCCACGTAGGATTTTCAGTATTTTCTTTATTATTTTCATCGTTTGACCCCTATAGAGTTTAGTTTGCTCAAATTAACCCCATTACTTTTTCTGCACACTAAACATTGTGAAATAAGAAATTCACCAAACGGCGAAATGTAACTTCCAACGCCATCGTTTATCCGGAACCGAGTTGGGCTCGTCCAGAGACCAGAAACCCATCCGACTAGGACTAGATAAGATCATGTCTATCTGAGGTTCCTTGTCTTTATCTACATGCGATCAAGAGCATATCTTATCCATATTTCGTTCTTAGTGTTTATTTTTATCTTTGTTGTAATTCTTATCGCTTTAGGTTTAGGCTTATCTACTTGTTTATGATGGTCAAACCGTTTATATATATATGGGAGGACCTCTGATTAATAATACAGAAATTACACATCTATTTTCAACACGTTATCAGCACGATCGTCCCTACCCTAAGAAAAGAAAATCCGAATTCCAAAACCCTAGACGGCACTCTCTCTCTCTCTCTCTCTCTCTCTCTCTCTCTATCTCTCTCTCTCGGCGTGATCTTCAACTTCTGCAACTCAAATATAACTTAGACCAAGAAGCTTCAGAACCTGAGACAATCCAAATCAATCCTACCAAAGCTCTCCTTGCATCCAAGCTTGCGCCCCAACGATGGTCCATTCAGATTCATTGGTTGTTAAGGTAAAATCTATAAACCCTAAAACATAGAGTTATGAAATCTCTAACCTAAAAACGAATCTGATCTGATTTAGAACTCTAAATTAATCCCCTAAACCCCTAAGCCAGCCACATGTATGCAATCTGCATATATTGCATGGTTTATCCAAAACCCTAATTTGATGATCTTGAAATCGTTTGCTTGCTAAATTATGTGTGCTTGTTTGATCTTGTTCAAGTTGTTTATGTTGAATGTTCAAGTGTTTCAACCTGATAGATTTCGAGATTTTCTTTTGGTAAATTGAATTTAATAAACCCTAATTGTTTAAAGTATGAAAACCCACTGCTTATTGTTCTTGATTATCCGATTGCTAGATCTCATTGTTTGCTTTTCTAAAATTGTTTACAGTTTTTATTAAAATCTTATCACCCTGAGACTATATGATTCTTTGATCACTAGACAATATGTTTTTGAGGTTTAGAACCTGATTTTTTTAAACCCTAATCGCATGAATCTTTTTTGCTAATACCCTAGAATCAATGTTGAATGAGATAGCCATAAACCCTAATTCTAGGATCGATTTTTTTCATGCCTTAATATTGATCTAGTATGCTTGTATGATCCGCCTGATTGATTTGATATTGAGAATGCTTGCTAGATTAATTGTTTACATGATCAGAACTTGATAAATTGTTCTTCAACCCTAGTTTTTTTAATTGCATGATCCGGCTATTGTTAGGTTTTGTTCTAAATAAATTCGACCAAACTGATTAAGTCTTGATAGTTTCTAGTAAAACCTGATCATCCTGAGACTATGTGTTGTTTGACCTAATTTTTTTTAGAATCAAAACCGTATGCCTTGATAAGTTGATCATTGAAACCCTAATCTAACTTTGTATAATCTGATTTCTTCATGATGCTTGCAATGTTATTTTTTTTTTAAAATCCCCTGATTGCATGATCATTCTCTATTGTTTTAAGATTAAGAAATCAGATGTTAGGTTAAATATGTTCACTTTGGTTCCACCCTGGAAAAAAATCGGCCATAGTTTAAAACCCCAATTAGGTTACCATGATCTTGTTAGTTGCTAAACCTAATTGTGTGTTGTGGTTTTTGCTTGACATATTTTTTGCTTGATCATATGATTCATATAGAATTCATATGCTACGTCTGATTGCATCATATTTGATTTTTTTTTTTTAAAGAATCTTGATTGCATCTAATAACCTAAAACCCTAATGTGATCTGATTTTTCTAGACTATGTTGCCTTGAAAGTCTCTGGTGATAACTACTTGGAATGGGCACTTGATACAAGAATCATGTTGAGATCAAAGGGCCTCGGTGAGACAATCACTGTTGGCAACAATTTAAGTGACAAAGATAAATATAGAGCGATCTTTCTGATCCGCCACCATCTCAATGAGAGTCTAAGAATCAGTACTTGACTATGGAAAATCCACTAGAGCTTCGGACTGACTTACAACAGAGATATGATCACCAGAAAACGGTGTTATTACCAAAGGCTACTTATGAGTGGAAAAACATGAGATTCCAAGACTATAAGTCTGTGGATGAATATAACTCAGTGTTATTTCAAATTGTTTCAATGTTGAAACTTTGTGGTCAAAAAGTAACTGAGAATGAGTTACTGGACAAAACCTTCTCTACATTCCATTCGAGTAATATATTACTGCAACAACAGTACAGAGAGAGAGAGAGGTTTTGCCACATATTCTGATTTAATCTCTTGTCCATTGTTGGCTAAGGCTAATAATGAATTTCTAATGAAGAACAGTGAGATGAGACCTCCAGGAACAGCACATTACCCGAATCGTCCAAACCGGCCATAGAAGCCAAGAAAAAAAGCAACATTGTCCAACACAATCGGCCAAACTTCATTGCCGGATTGGTTATTGTGGATGTTCAAACTGCATTTCCGGATTGGTTATTGTGATGGACTAGGTTGCTTTCTTTCTTGGCTTCTATGGCCGGTTTGGACGATTCGGGTAATGGTGTTGTTCCTTAAACTTGCATTGACAAATAACACACAAGTAGATGATGCACTGTTGTGTTCTTTTGATGATTAATAAAATTATAAATGTCCAATGAACTTGACCATTGTCTATCTGAAAAGCCTTAGCATCAAACAAGTTGCAATCATATTTGTTGATATATAATTTCTTATGTTAAATTCGTTGTTCAGAGATACACTAGGTGTTATTCAGACGACATGGTGGAATCTAGTATCTAGAGAAAAATTAAATATTAATTGAAAATTATGCGGAACAAAAATTTTAAATTATTTAATATGTTATAAAATGTATTAATATTTAAACTTAACATGGTATAATTTTCAGTAAGATTATGAATATAAATTATATTTATTAAATTTAAAAAAAATAAAAATATTATTTAAAAAAATAGATTAGCGGCCAACTAATTTAGATGAATTAAAATCAGACATCCGATTTTTTACATCGATGTAGTATAATCAAAGTGGATGAGTACGTCTAGCGAGATCCGAGGCCGGATTTTAGAACAAGAGTTAACTACATGATTGTACACTGTGATTTGATCAATGTTTTTGGTATATATTAACATTTATTTATATTCTTTTACTCATGTCACTATAAAACTATCAAGTACAGTATTGTTTTTTAAGACTATACTACATATATAAGAGTCGTTCAAATGAAAAACTATTGGTTGATGGCTCGATATTAGCTACACGTCTAAATCAAGAAGAGAAACAAAAATACAAAACTATTGAAATTTTCATTGAGAGTGAGTAAGATTACATCTTATAAGCCACCAATTTCATATATTGAATCAAAATATCACCCACCACAACTTAAATATGAACATTTTTTCCTGAGACTGCTTCCAATAGAAGGGGGACCCAGCAAATGAATGATTTGTGTCGTAAGGACTATATAAAGTTGTTGTAACTTATAAGTCAAGGGAACCTACCCTTTTATTTTTTTAGTAACATTGAATTCATCGTTATGAATACATAATATATAAGTTGTTGTAACTTATAAGTCACAGGAACATGTTCTATAACTTTTTATTTTTTGATTATACACAGTTTCTCCAAAGGTTTCCTAGACCCAAAGGATTAATCTGTGTCGCTGCATCTCGAATGTGAAATTGCAGTGACCAGAGCGAGTCAAACCCAGGTGACCGTACTTGCAGCTGCAGACCGTTTACCACCAGACTAACTTGTCTGATTATATTCTATAATTTTTACACAACAATATATTTTTTTTTTTTTACAAACATTGAACTCCTCTTATGAAGATAAAATATACAATATACTAATTTGGTATCTTTGTTGTATTCACAAACCTCCCCCCCCCCTCCCCCAAAATATAAATACACGACACTATGGATACCGATAACAGAACATGCTTAACTAAATAATGTAAAATGAAAACAAACAATCATTTCTAAAAGCACATGGTATCAAATAAGAACTGAAACCAAATTCCACAAGAATATTTCACCGATACATCGTATAATGCCAACTGAAGAATTGAGCAGCAATTATTATACAACCATTTTCTATAATCAATAAATCCAAAACAAAATAGCAATTAGTATGCAAAGAAATTGTCAAGAAAACATGTTCATAAGAAGATACAAATCCTGATTAATAAAGCAATGAACAGTTGTTTACACTATTGCTATATTTTTCACAGTGAGTTTGAGTTGAAACGTACTCCCTCGTTAACTAGTCTTTTTTTTGAAACTACGTTTTAAACTAGTTGTCTATCTTAAATCAACTAGTTTAAAACGTAGTTTCAAAAAAAAGACTAGTTAACGAGGGAGTACGTTTCAACTCAAACTCACTGTGAAAAATATAGCAATAGTTGTCTATCTTAAATCTAAAATTTAAGAATAATATAAAAAGTGTTAAAACCTCTCTGACACGACTTCCAATGCACCCTTGGCGTGTCCCTGGTTGTGTTTCCGGCAAGAATCCGACGGCAGACGCAGCTGACGACCCCCCAGACCCACCTCTCATCCCTCCCGATCCTTCTAATCCTTCGTCTCCCCTTTCACCACACAATTTTCCAACTCTTACTGAAGCCAAAACTACTCCAAAATCCTCAACTAAATTCAGATCTGGAACTGTTCTCAGATCTACAACTGTTCCCTTTTCAACTGTTAAAAGGGTCCAATCCTCCATTACAGAAGTC